GTTTCTGTGCAGCAAGGAAACAACTAAGAGTGAAGAAAGCCTCTAGGATGAAAAAAGGTTTTGCCAGATACTCCTTGGACAGAGGACTAACAGATGGAATAATATAGAAAGGCTCCAAAAATGAGATGCCCTAAATAAAAAGCCATTCAAAAAAATGGGAAACTGGAGTGAACAGATCCTTTTTAGAAGTACAAATGAACAATAAATACAAGAAATTCAACAGCTCTGGCCATTAGAGAAATGCAAATTAAAACAACACTGAGATTCTATTTTATTCAGGAAAGAATGGCTATCACCAGGAAACCAAATAACAACAAATGCTAGTGAGGCTGACAAGAAAAGGAACCCTTCTTTGGATATTGTTGGTGGGAATGCACACTAATTCAATTCCTAAGGAAATTGGTATGACGATGCCTTGAAAAACAAAAACTGGACATTTCATTCAACTCAGCTCTTGCTGTTTAGGAATTTTCCTGAACCCGTTAAATCCATCATAGTACAAAAAACCATACAGCTAAATCTTGGAACCAGCCTATATGTCCCTCAAGAGATGCATGGCATTTACATACAATGGAGCACAGTTCTGTCATAAAGAAGGACAGACTTGAATTATTTGTAGGAAAATAGATGCACCTTGAGACCGTAATGTTAAGTGAAATAAGTCAGACCCACAAGAAACCCAAAGTAGAAGTAAAGAGCAAAATAAATAAGTGGGAGGTAGATCTTCCTCAAATGGATGGGAAATCAAGAGATGGAGGGGAGAAACATTAAAAAATTGAGATGTGTTATATCCATAAGCCAGCTCCCCATGATGAAGGTAATCACTATGTACTATAAATATGTGGTAATAAAAACTGAAAGCTGAAAACAAAGATGAAAAAGGAGATGTGGTAGGAGCGCCGTGTTGCCAGCTTCCTATTGCTGTAACCATGCACAGGGAAGGCTTTCTTTGGCTCACAGCTCTGGAAGGTCCATTCCATGGTCACCTTGGAATGGCACCTGCCTTGGAGTCAGGAGCCAGGCAGTAGTAGTACCTCAAGCCGGCGGGCGATGGGCAAAGGACACTACTTCCCTCCCTTAGACAGGGAGGCAACAGAGACAGCAAGGGCCCAGGTTTCCAGCGGGAAACCTTTGGGTGACCAGCCTTCTCCCCATACTTTAGGTCCCACCCTAGACATACACCACCTCTTGAGAAGCCCCGCGGCTGGAGCCAGGCCGCTAACATGCAGGCCTTGGGCACATTCCAGATCCACACTGTGGCTACTGAAGTCAGAGCTGATTCTCAATACTGTGTATGGTGTGTGATAATCTGCCAAAAACAGAAGTAAGGAAGCGTTTCCAAATGGAGTTGTTCATCTCTTCCTATGTCCAGAACGTGACTTGACAGCTCCGTAATTCCTGGATTGGCTTTCTTGAAACCTGTGAATGCCTGGAAGTGATGGAGGCCACAGCACTTGGTGCTTCCTCGTGCTCAGCACTTACCATTTTGTCAGTTCCCTGTTAAACACTTGCCTACAGCCCAATGCTAAGTTCTGAGAGGGCCATGACTAACTCTGGCTTGTTTCTCCTGTGTATATTCAAGAAATGTCTGGTCAGGTAAGGAGATGGACATATGGCAAAGGTACAGGGCCATCGTGTTTTACTTCAGCATGAGCTGATTCCTGGTGGTTATTCTGTCTTCCCCATGGGTTTAAATTGTCCTCCGGGCAAGCCTCTAATTTCAGAACATCACTACAGCACCTTGCAGTAACCAAAAATAAATAGAGCTTAGTTGATCACTGTGAAAATCCTAAAAATATAGAAAAAGATCAAGCAAGTTAAAGAAGAGCTGGTGGTGGAGCTGCTAGGAGGGGAGAAGTGAATATAATACCAAGAGTGGAAATACTCAGCACAAGCACACTGAAGCTATATTAGATAAGTGTCCCCCCAAACCTCCTGTGCTCAAGACTCATTGCAGGGTGGCATCTTTCAAGGGGGAACCTTCAAGAGCTGAGGCTCGGTGGGAGACCCACAGTTTGCTGGACTATAGAACCTGATCTCTTGCTCCTTCCTACTTTGCTTCCTGGCCACGATAAATGTGCTGTGGCTCCCCCACGCTTTCTACCACTACTGTTGACTCCCCCAACAGGAACCTTACCCTCCCAAACTGTGAGTCAAGTAAATCTCTACTCTTTTTTTTTTTTTTGTCTTTTTCCTTTCTATCGGTACTAGGGATCGAACTCACGACTGCCTGCTTGCACGGCAGGCGCTTATGCCGCTGAGCTAAATCCCCAGCCCTAAATCTCTACTCTTTATGAGTTATTGATCTCAGGCATTTCACTGCAGTGACAGAAATCTGGTGAATACAACTGCACATATTGTAAGTATCATCCATCAATGAGAGGCAGTTTACTAGTATGATATGAGATGAAGATCTTACTATTGTCTGCTGGAGTTAGTGTAGGGGCAGGCTAGTACTAAACTAATAGATTGGATAACCATGATTTTTTGCTAGTATTATAACCAATGGTTTTAAACCTCTGATCTATGCTGCTGTGTTTATAGTATTTTGTTAGTTGCATTGGAATCAAACATTTAATGTATACCTATCTTGCCCATGTTAGATCCTGATGATGCAAATCAAGAAGATGCAGCACCAGCGGTAAAAATCCACAGAACGAGGCGAGACGGCAGATGCTGTTTCTCAGATGTTTCAGCTCTTGGAAAGATGAAGGAACACGCACTTCAAACGGTACACTGTGGATGGGATGGATGCACATGAGTGCATACAGGACTTGTAAGAAACCTGAGGAAGTAATTTTCAAGGCCTGGGTCCTCCTAAAAGGCTTGGTGGAAGATACAGCCTTTAAAAGAGGGATGAAACTATAGGAGGAAGAGAAGAGTGAAGTGTTACAGAAAGGGGAAGCACGAAACAAAATGACAGCTGAAGTGCCTACAAGTATCCAGCTGTTCACACTTGTCCTTTATGTAGGCAACAGGAGATCAGGTTGGAAGGCTGAGGATCACACTGGGAAGGCAAACAACAGGCTCCAGAGCTAGGACACAGTGGTACACATGGCCCTACTCCACGTGGGCACCGCTCTGCACCCAGGCCAGTCTGAGATGCCACATGGGCACTGCTCTGCACCCAAGCCAGCCTGACATGTGGCAATGTGGGGAATACATCACAGCGTTAGACGACTTGGGAGGAAAAAACAACATGAAATGCCCCAGACCCAATTTTAAATGGATTACATTTTGAAATGATAGGATTGTGTATCTACTGAGTTAAACAAAATATTTAAAGTCACATGTGGCTTGCACTTGTGGGCTACATTATATTTCTATTCAACAGTGCTGCTCTAGAAAAATGAAATGAGAGATAAATGAACAAGGATTCATGCAAAAATTGTATTAATTCTAATAGAAACAGACAAATGGATTTAGCTTATACACAGTGGATCTAGTTTTACATAAGCTAATCACAAGAAAGAGCTCAAGGTTGTGTGTGAGGAAGAGGAGCTGCTGCAGTTTCCAAACTATTTAAGAGACAGAATAACTAAATTCAGCGTATACACTTGGTTTGGATACTGATCCAAGGAAACAAAACATAAAAATACATCACAGAAACAACCAGGGATATTCTTTAAAAGACCCAGATATCAGACAACATCAATGAAATACTACTTTGATTGAAAATGACACTGAGATTAAAAATGTTGGTATGTTTTAGGAATGTGAAATATATCGAGATGAAATGACAACACATTTTGGATTTGCTGGAGGTTAAAGTACCTTTCTTACTTTTCAAACCCAAATAATAAAAGAGATAATCCAAAATCTAATGGAATTATTAAAATAAAGCAGTTTTGCTGGACAGACAGGAGTACTTGCGTGTCTGTCTCTATCCAAGGAAGGATAGAGTCCTGGAAAGGGCGTTGATTGGGGTAGGGCTGCCCGGGAAGCACTGCTCTGCTAGTACTGTGCCGAAGGTAGCAGGATACCTAATGCTATTGCTTCAGTATTTTGTAGAGCCATGCATTACCCTGGATCTAGGATTAAAACTAGGTTTGTTGCTCATCAGCATAAAGCTCCTCATGTCTGCCTTAAACATGAAAAATCTCGTGGTGAACGAATTTTTAGATTTTTTGTCCTGCTTGGATCACTCTGTAATTCACAGCATCATTACATGACAATGTTCGAATATTTTACCTATCTAGCTCAAGTTTTCTTGAATGCTTCTTAAACTGAGACTTGGTAGAAGAAGGAGAAAGGAAGTCAATGTAAGCGTTGCAACATCGAAAGCATTCTAACATCTCCAAGGGAAGTTTGTGTCACGCTGCCAAAGCCTCAGACCCCAGGTACCATGCAAAGAAGACAGAGCAGGGTAAACCAGCAGAAGGGAAAGAAGGAAAGAAGGGGAGGGCCCAGGATGGCACCCCCACAACATGCGTGCGCCGGGGGAGTTCTCGCACTGGCTCAAGGAGGGGCACCACTGCGTTTTCCTGAGCCTGGGACTGTGCAGCGCCTGGACTCTGCGGATGCCACCCCTAGCTCTGTGGCCTCATCGTTGATCACCTCGTCGTCTAGGAAGTTGGTGACAACACCTTCCTTACTTGACTCGCTGGGCTGCAGGTAAAGCAAAGCGAAACAGCCAACGCCAAAGAGACGAAAAGTGTTTGTTTTTTTAATTAGTCGGTTGCTAACGTCTCAAAGAACTTACTTTACCACATCCACTGCTCTCCTAGCGCCGCTCCCACCCCCTTCCCACGCGCGCGCCACGCTACAAATCCAAGGGGTGGGAGCAGCACAAGGCAGGGTAAGTCGAGGCAGCCCTGGCGAAGGTGGGAGGAAGTGTGGTGAGGTACACGCCGAGGACAAGCGGGGCGGAGACAGTTTCGCGGGGGGCCAGAGCACGGCACTTACAGCTTGCCCACTCCTTGTTAGCCTGGGCTGGTTACCATAGCGATCGCGTCGGCCCGAAGGAGCGTTGCTTCCGGTCGGTGCCTTGGCTGCCGGGCTGGCAACGCGATGACATCAGCCAGGACTTCCGGCGGAAGCGCACGCCAGCGAGAGTGTGGCGGGCGGCAGACGCGGTTACGCTGCATTGAACGGAGCGGCGGTCGGAGGAGCGGGAGCGGCGGGGGCCCTGGGGTCAGCTGTCCGGGTGAGTGGGCGCCGCAGGCAAGGTCTCTGGGTCCAGGCCCTGGCTCGAGCCCCGCGGGAGGCGCCGCGTGCTGCCGCGGGGTTCACTGGGCTGCTTGTCTTCCCTCGTGTTGAGAGCAGCTGCCAGGTTCCCCAGGAGTGTAGTGAGCGTCTGGGTACCACTGGACCCAAATTCTAAATAAGTCAGGGCAAAATGAGAGCTCGGTACAGGACGCGGAGGGTGGATCTTCTGCAGAAGGCAAAGGGGCCGAGGCCGGAAGGTGAGGGAGAGGAGGGATGAGAAAGAGGGAGGAAGACACGTCCTGTCAGTGTGCCGCCACACCCCGTGAAGCCTTCGCTGTGCCCCGCAGACCGAGAGAAACAGCATCAGGAGTGCCTCCGACGGGCTGACCGCCCCGAGCTCACGGCCACATTCGGGCATCTTCCTGTCTAGTCGTGAATTGAAGAGCGAGGCATTTGTCTTGAAACATCTAGCACCTTTCCCGAATTGTATCCTTTCCCGTGGAGTTGCTGAGAGCATTTGAAATACAGATGCATGCTTCAAGTTTGGACTCTCATCATGAGTTCTTCAGCTAGATAGTAAAGAACTTAAGAAGACTATACTTGCGGTTTTTTCCGATTCATGCAGATAGTAATAAATTGTCACTCCGCTTTTATACAGCTGATCTGGGGAAACCCACCTCCGGCTCCAGGGACGATGGCGTTGGAACAGATACCAAAGAAAGACTGGTACAGCGTTCTGGGGGCAGACCCGTCCGCCGATGTGTCAGACCTGAAACAAAAGTACCAGAAACTCATATTAATGGTAAGTCCTTTTATGTTTTAAATCATGGGAGAAAAAAAAATTTTTTTTGTCTTTTCGAGACAGGGTCTTGCTATGCAATTCAAGCTAGCCTTGAGCTCACTTTGTAGCCCAGGCTGGTCTTGAACTTGCTATGATCCTCCTGCCTCAGCCTCCCAAGTGCTGGGATTACAGGTGTACCGCCACCACAACCAGTGAGACAAGTTTTTAAATACGATCCGGAATTTAAATTTCAAAGAATACTGTATCACTAGAAATGAAGGTAGTCATTTATTTAATTGATCGTTTCAGTAATTTAGCAAAACACCAAAAACCCTCTATGCGGCCCAGCTTGGTGTTTAGGGCCATGAGCTGTGAGTCAGGCAATAGAGAAAGCTGACTCCCCTGACTCTTCTGTTGTCCTGAGAACTTGGACAGCTTTCCTCAACATGGTATTCAGGTCCTTAGGAAGACACAAAGGGAATAGTGGACTTCCTGTGTAAGGTACCCAACGACAGGGCTATAACCTATGTAAATGCTCGAAAGTGCAGCTGCCTGACAGCCAGGCCTGGCTGGGCAGTAGCCTCTGGCCGCATGTGATTCCCCAGTGTTTAGCCATGCTTGTCCAAGGAGAGATGTGCTCTAAGTGTAAAATACACTTAGGGTTTTGAAGTCAGTTCAAAGTGTAAAAAAATTCTAAAACTTTTACATTGATGTCATGTTAAAATGGTAGTATTTCAGCTGTTTTGCATAGGCTATGCAGAATATATGTACATGTATTTGTATGTATTACCACATTTTATTTCATCTTCTTTGCCTTTTTCAACATTAGCCTGCGTTTAGCTTTGGGTTATATTTCTATTGTATAGTGCTGATTTAGTTCCTTTTTTACACTACTTTCCACTGCATTCATCCTTTTTTTAATGAGCTGGAATAGTTCATAAGTATATATAATATCTCTCTGAACCTAAATTCATTTTTTCAGTCCATATGTTGATGGTCTTAAGCCAGTCAGAGTCTATAATAACCTGAGATTAACTGAGGTTACTAAACAGCCATTACCAACATGGCATCAGTGGTTTCTCTACAGTGAAATCACCTGTGGTGTTTTGCCTAGACTGTGTTCATGGTAAAGGGTAGCTCGCTTACTGCCAGGAATGTGCTAGGGATCTTAAACCATGTGCTGCTTTCCAAAAGATGTTCCAAATGTTAAGTCCTCTTGGTCCTTCAATTTGGAGATGTGGCTGGAGAAAACCAGGTCTGGGCACCCAGGTCAGCAGGCCTGACTGGCTCTTAGCTGGGCAGTGAGGGGCCATCTGCAGTGTCAGATCCTGAAGCTGACGAACCATTTGAGGTCTGAGTTTGGGATGTGGTAGAGTTCCAGTGGCTCCATTTGCCTAACAGCATTTGCTTCTATTAGTCTCTTCTGTGATGACTGAGCTTTCTCAGCTAGAGAGCTGAGCCTTGGAAATCCCTGCTGTGAGGGTCACCTGTGCATTGTGACGTGGCAACCACCTTTCCTTAGGAATCACTGCATTGTTCTACCCTGCCTGCATCTCATGGTGGAGGGTTCTGCTTTTTGGTTTTGATCTTTTTCCTCTGATGACTCTGTTGAGTACTTTTTGATGTAATTATTGTCTATTTGTATAATCTTTTGTGAATCGTTTTTGTTTTAAACTAAATGTATTTTTTTTTCTAGTGTGTATTGTGCGTATTTTTTCTAGTCTGTAGCTTACCAGGTTTTTTGTTTAATGGAGTTTTTCGACGTGTGGAAGCTTTTTGTTTTTGACAAGATATAATTTGTCATGGTTGTGTTTTATAGAGTGCTTTCTGTGTCTTCTCTGTGCATGTGTAAAGATGAGTTTGGCTTGGCCCTGTGGTGCTGAAGTTGAGCCCAAGATCTGTTGGCTTTGGGGCCTGAGATGTGAGAGTTCACTGGGGTGGAACCCAAAGCTCCAGGTGGAGGAAGAAACCTGGTCCCTGGAGGAGGACCTAAAGACCTCCTGCTAGGTCACACCTCTTCAAGGGCCCACACCATCCAGTGCCCCCAGGCTGGGGACCAAACCTTTAAGCCTGGAACTTAGGGGCCATTCCAGACCCAACCTCCAGCAGGTACCATTTATTTCCATCGCCTCACATTTTGGTGTCTCTCACCTGCTTTTTCTCTTCTATTTGTTCTTGTCATTTATGCTTTTTGCCCTTTTCAAAAAATATTACTCTTTTGTTACCGCAGTGAAATTTCAGGGGGGAACAGGTGTCGGTGTGTGTATTAATTTGCCATTTATAGATGCCCTGCACTGTTTCCACTTCCCCTGGGTGCTAGTCCCCTATTTCGCTGTACACTTTGCCACATACCTGGTGCATGGTGATCCATCCTCTGCCTCACCCATTTGGAAACGGTCTCAGTGCCCCTGGGCTGCATCCCCTTCCTCCTGGTACCCGCTCCTGGTCCCTGTGTGTTGGGAGCTGCGAATTGAGGAATGGGGAACAGTTAGCGTGTCTGGAGGTGGTGGCCTTGGGCTAGCCTGGCATGTTGGCTCTGGGGGTGGTCACAGTCCCTGGAGAGCTGAAGGAGTGGCTGCATCCACATCACTGGGAGGGAGAGACAGGCGGTGGTTTGGTACAGAAGTCCCTGAGCTTGTGTTGGTGGCTGCGTTTTGCTCTGAAGTAGGAACAGAGCTGCTGTTGAGGGAAGGTGGCAGATGCCAGGCACCAGCGGTAGCTGCAGAGCATCCTGGCCTTTCTGGCTACGTCCTCGTGCTGGTGTGGTGTGGAGCAGTGACTGTGAGCCACACGCTGCCCGGCGGGGACGGGGGAGGGAGTACGTGGAGACTGAGTGCGCAGTGGCTCACACAGTTGCAGTTTGCCCATGCTGTGGCCTCAGCCCTGGCTTTTGGCGCTCACAGGCCTGTAGAGCCAGGGTGTTAGGCTGCCATTTGCAGCTAAGGGACTGAGACCTGCTACAGTTTCCTGGTTTGTCAAAGACACAGTGAGCAGCCGTGAAAAACCTAGGCGTGATCACATCGCCTCTGCCATGGACTTCACTTTACCGAGTCATTGCCACCCAGAAAGGCTTTGTGTTGTTGAAAGGCACACTTTTCCTTACTCTAGATTTCCATAGAATGTTCTTGAACAGTTACGACTTATCATGCAAGGTCAGACACAATTACTTTTCTCTGCTTTACTTTTGATGGGCTCAAGCTTACATACAGGTTATGGAGTGAAACTTCCTTATTCATTTTGTGCCATAAGGAGAGTTTCTGATAGATTTAAGGAGAAAATTACAAAGGCAGGCCGTATAATTTATTGTGTTTATCAGTTTCTTTTTCCATAGAAACAGGCATCTACATCTCGTATTTTTTGTTTCCAAATTTGAATTAGCATATTTTCTCAGTTTGTGTTTTTTCATTAATGTCACAAAACAGTTGGCGCATAGACTTACATTTGAATACCATTCTGTATCTAATTTTATAAAAAAGACGCATTTATTACGTAGTTTTCCAAGTTCATAAGACTTTGAATTTAACACCTCCACATAATATAGTTGTTGAATAAAATATTGCTAAATCGTAGGCTGTTGAGTTTACAATGCATGTTAGTTTAGTAAATACTGTTTGCTTATTTCAGTTTTTATAAATGTAATGCTTACTCAAGGTCTTAATTCTGAAAAACTCTTATTGACTGGGAGACTTAAAATGCTTAAAAGATACATGCAACTATAAAGTGCAGAATTAGCTTTAAGTGTATGTATTTCATGTCCATTAAGCCTATTGCCAAATAATTTACTATGTTAAATTAAAGTGGCTGAATCAGTATTTCCTTCTTTCCTAAAGGGGCATTGCTATTTGTATATTGCAAATTTCTAATTTATTAGTTTTCCACTGATAACATTTGAATAATAGTGCATTGCTTTTAAAAATAATTGGGAATCCAGAATAATCAGTTACATAGTTTCATATTTTTTTTGCAGTTATACATGTGCACATTGTTGTTTACTGAACATAAAGCTTTTCAAATTGAAAATTGGGGGTCTTTTCCCATTGATGTTGATAATGTTTTAAGGTATCTTGCAATTGGAAAAGAATTACAGTGCTGGAAAATTACATGCTGTTACAATATGTCCCATACTATTAAAGAAAACTCATGTAATTTGAGGCAGGAGTGTGCAGGGTGCTCTCATTGTTAATGCTGGAGGGGTATAAAGTACCACTTAATACCCACATAGGCATTTGGAGGGTCTTTTCTTCATTGTAACCGCTTATCTATGGATTAGCATTGAGCTCCTTATGTAATACATTTTAACGTCCTGAAAAAGAAGATGGAAAGGGTACCTGTACAATAGTCAGGAAAATTACCACCTCAGAAAGAAAGGGAGTAAGAACAGCTCTTTCAGAAAGTCTTTTGACTGCATTACAAAGCAAAGCAATCTTGATTACAGGAAAGGTACTTAGGCATTAAGAGAAGTTTTGTACAAAACAATCTGGGAATATTTTCAATAATTGGAAATAATCAAAAATTGGAAAGGTATGACTGGTCTTGTAGTGAGCATTATTATTTTTGTTAACGTAGTTAACTCTTTACTGTTTTGCTGTCATCTGTGTGTCACACAGGATGTAAGATATTTGGCAATAAATTACCTGGGTATTTTATGGAGACTCTCTTACAAACTATCTTCTGTTCCTGTCACAAACAAACAAACATCACCAGGCTTACTTGCGCCTGTGTGTGCTCTCAGCCCTTGGGAGGCTGAGGAAGGAGGAGGCTCTCCATGAATTTTGTAGCCAGCCAGGGCTACATCCTGAGTGCAAGGCCAGTCTAGACTACGAAGTGAAATTCTCAGAGACAAAAAACTACCCTTTTTGTGATAAAAGTGGCAAGAATAAGATTTTTGTTTTTGTACCAGGGATAGAACTCATGACCTCGCAGTTAACAGGTAGGTGTTTATGCCACTGAACTAAATTCCTGGCCTGGAATAAGACATTTTAATAAGTAGTAATTTTTAGCTGATCCCCGGCACTGCATAG